TGGGTGGGGTAGGAAGGAGGGTAAAGGGTGTCAAATACATGGAGATGGAAGAAGGTTTGACTTTGGCTGGTGGGCACACAATGCAATATACAAATGATGGATCATAGAACTGTATACTTGAAACCTATATAATTTCATTAACCCAATAAATTTAATTTTAAAAATATTTAAAAACCATTCCTTGAAGAGTAAACAGAGTATGCAAAAGGTATGTTTAAGGGATGGCAGGAAGGTCACTGTGATTGGAAAGAGTGGAAAGAGACATGGAGAAGTAGGGAACAAGTTGACACTGTAGCTGAAGGGAGAGTCCCAAGTTATGTGGGTCGAAAGACTGTTCTGTTGAAGACTGATTGACTAGAAGAGTAATATTTTAATGGACAGATATAGAGGCACGGTATATTTGAGGAGATAATTGAGTTTTAAAGTTTGAGGTGCTGATGGTACAGTTACATGCATTGTTGATGACTCGAAATATGGGAGTGAAGTTGACTGAAATGGATAAGGAAGGAAGGAGCAGATTTTGGAATTCTCTGCATGAAATTGGTAATTGAAATAGCAAGAACAGAAGATAGTAAAAGGAAAATAACAAGGAGAAGATACTTCGTAATTACGTATTTCTTGATATCCCTCTTCTTTTTTTGAGAAGTTGCCCACTCATCTTTCTAAATCACAGTTCAAATATCTAATTCAGTTTTTTAAAATATATTTTATTGATTTTTTACAGAGAGGAAGGGAGAGAGATAAAGAGTTAGAAACATCGATGAGAGAGAAACATCGATCAGCTGCCTCCTGCAAACCCCCCACTGGGGATGTGCCCGCAACCAAGTTACATGCCCTTGACCAGAATCGAACTTGGGACCCTTCAGTCCACAGGCCGATGCTCTATCCACTGAGCCAAACCGGTTAGGGCTCACATTCAGCTTTTAAAAAATGTTTTTATTGATTTTTAGAGAGAGAGGAAGGGAGAGGGATAAAGAGATAGAAACATTGATGAGAGAGAAACTTCATCGATTGGCTGCCTCCTGCATGGCCCCTACTGGAGATTGTGCCTGCAACCTGGGCATATGCTCTGACCTAGAATCACTCTCTTGGTTCATGGGTTGGTGCTCAGCCACTGAGCCACACCGGCTGGGCTCACATTCAGTTTTGGTAGGATTTTGATGGACCCATAAAGGGATGGGAGATTGGAACAGAGGCTCTGGAAGAGAAGAAACTGTCAAAGAACTAAGGAAATACCACGGTAGTACAATATATCCTCTCAACTAGCAGAGGATAAACCTCCCAGCGGACTGCCATGTTGTTGACAGTGACTGTCCCTTACCTGAATGCCCCTTACTGTCTGCTAGTAGCGCAGTTTACCCCTCGGGGAATATGAACTTGTCTTTGGTTCTCTGCGTGGAATGGTTGAGTACATCATTCGCCTAGAATTTTCTTTCCAGCACAGGGCCCATTAAACATTGTACCCTTAGTAAACAGCTGAGTTTGTGTGGCGGTCATTATGCCAAATGGTTTAGGAGGGTCCCAGTAAAAGAAGACAGAGTTACCAAGAGTCTTAAGAATGACCCTCTTGAGCAAAATTATGATCTGTATATATCGATTGCAAACAGCCACATCCATATTTTTTCCTTCTTTTTGTCATTGGGGGAATAAAAAGTGAAGTGATGCAGTTATGAGATTAAGATCATCATCATCAGAGCATTGAGTAATATGAATAATTGATATAATCCAACAGTCTTGTTTCTTAGATATATTATTGTTGTTCATAATATGTAAGAGCAGTCATTTTGAAATGGTTCAGTTACAGTACCTGTTATGGCCAGCAGATGCCTGCAAACACCATAAAATCATTTTGACCAGATTGTTTTAAAGACCAAACTGCTGTTTTTTGGAGCTATATATATATATATATTGCTGATCTAGTATGATTGTTTATATTTCATTCTTTGCCTTTTAATTCCAGGTGTAGAGACTAAAGACATTTTACTTAAAAGGAACATTTAATATTTTCTTTTCTGGGAGTATTAAGTGTATATTAGGATATCTACTACTTGTATGTCATTTAAAAAATTGAGATGAAACCGTGAAAGAGAAGCACTTGTAAATGTTGTGCCATTCTTTTTTCCCCCCCAATAAGATCAAAAGAATTTTAATGTCTTTTTTTGTGTATCTTTTTCTCTAACCAATATAGGAGAAGTATTCAAAAGGAATAATTCCCCTTTCTGCTATATCTACAGTACGAGTTCAAGGAGACAACAAATTTGAGGTTGTTACAACACAAAGAACTTTTGTTTTTAGAGTAGAAAAAGAAGGTAAGATTATTTCTTTGTTCCTATGAAAACACTCACAGATATTCAAGAAATCTTTAAATATGTTACTTTTAAATAATTTACATTTTATGTTAATTTTTTAAATGCCATAAGCAAGCTGACAAGTATTTATTCACTATTCTCACATGCAGCTAATACTTGGTGGGGATCTACTAAGGGTCAACAAGGACTCTTCTAAATTCTGAGTATACAGCAATGAAAAAAAGTAGACAAACATCTCTGCTCTTATGGGTAATAATGGGAAATAATTATTTAATATGCAAAAATCCATTTTTCTAACCATTCCAAGGTTGGTTGTACAGCAGGCTTTAACTGAATGCACAGGCACAGTAATCATTCTAACATAGATTTTGCAGCATCTTTTCTTTTTCTTGAATATTTTCACCTGCATCAGCTGCTACAGGTCACTTGATGGTGAAAATTGATGTAAAGGTGGTTTGGGGATATAATCTAAACCTTTAAGCCTTCTCTGACTTTTTGGGTGGGAGTGAGGGAGCTAGAACCAGGGGAGTTAAAATTTTCTGTTGTGTATTTTGATTGACTGCCAATAGCATTATTACTATAAACACCACTACTTTTAAATAATATAGGTAAGGTTCTTTTCATTAATTAAATAGGATTTTAACTTATTTTAAAGCCCACTTTTAGGATAGATTACAACTCAACTAGATTTTTTAAAGTACTTTTACTTGTTGGTACTTAATTATTTGAATAATGGTGATATGGAAAACTTACTCATTTTCACAATAGTTTCATGATATATGTAGATATTATGAGCATTCACTTTTTATAAACTACAACAATATTAACTGTTACGGAGCAATATTTATTTATTTTTAAACCGCTAGATTCCTAGAACATACGGTTGGGCATGGCGCATAGAAAACATTCCATAAATATTATTTATTTCTAGAAAGCTTCCTATATTGCTTGGGATAATCAGTAAATGAGTAAGTCCCAGCTGCTGTTTATACTGGAGCTGCTTTTGTCAAATAGTGACTCACTCACCACTTGAGTGAGTAACTTAGTGGTTTCTAATGGTATAAAAAAAATACCAAACAAACATAAAAAAGAATAAGAAATACCAAAGTACATCGCCTCTGGTACGTCTAAATAATTTATTGTGAAACATACCGATGCATATATTGCACCCATGTAATGTAAAAGTGTTTCTTACTTGCTATTAGACAAATGTTGAGCGCTTTAGCCTAGAGCAGGGGTTAACCCAACATGCCCAGGTGCCTAAGTGTGGCTCAAGGCTTGTTTTCCTGCACACAATCTTGTTAGATCCCAACCACTGTCATTCCCTGACATCACATCTTGTTGCTGTTTGTGCCTCAGTGGCAGTGTTGAGCTGTTGCAGCTCAGCCTGTATGGTGAGGAGAGCCTGAGATATTTACTGTCGGCCCCTTTACAGAAAGAAAGCTCGCCGACCCTTGTCCTGTCCTGGAGCACTTTTTATAGACCTGCTGCTTATGTGAGAAGCCACTTTTTGTGGTTCATTGCCTAAAATTCAGAAAGTTATCCACAGTTGTGATACTCGATATGGAACTTGTCTCTGAAATCATAGTTTTCTCTCAGGCTATTTCTTCAAACACATGGCGTTGCTACTCTTGACTGGCTCTCATGGTGCTCTTTCCTTCTGCTTTGGTTTCCACGGCCCCGAAGGTGACTGCCTGTGTCTTTGAGGTGCTTGTCACCTTCCCCTTGGCCTGTCAGAGTGAATTCCACATATGCCACGCGGCCTGCATTTTAAGAGAGACATACCAAGTAAAGTTTCCAAACTGTTCAGCCACGTTTACTTGCTGCAGTTAAAAGTTAAACAGACACATTTTCTTGAAGTGGAATTTGTCAACCCACACATTTAAAAGTTACGTGTTTATAGTTGACCCTTGAATCCATCTGTGATACATAGAGCATCTTTGTGATATGAACTTAGTATAAGAATTTCATTAACTTTGATACAAATTATTTGTTAAATAAGTTTTAGGTCTTTAATTTTTGAAAGCGTGAAAATACTGCTTTAGTGAAAATTCTATTCACATAGAATTACTGAAGGTAATTTTCAATGGAAGTCATTTTTACAGAGTAACAAGTCACATTTTTAAAGATAAGTGGATGTAGCCGGTCACAGTGGCTCAGTGGTTGAGCATCAACCTATGAAGCAGGAGGTCATGGTTCGATTCCTGATCAGGGCATATGCCTGGGTTATGGGCCCCAGTAGGAGGGTGTGCAGGAGGCAGCTGATCAGTGATTTTCTCTCATCATTGATGTTTCTCTCCCTCCCTCTTCATTCCTCTCTGAAATCAATAAAAATATATTTAAAAAATAAAATTAAAATAAAGTGGATGTAGAGATGTGTGTGTGTGTGTGTACATATACATAAATGCTATATATGTGTCCATATCTTTAGTATGGAACTTTCAACAGGATACTAAATGTGTTTCATTAAGTGCTGTTTTCCTTCCATGTATACAAATGATTACTTTTTATTTTGTGGGAACTGAGAAATCAATCAAATGAAATATGGTTTATGAAATATTTGACTTAATGAATTTTAAGCCAAATTAAACTTTGCTTCAATCTATTCATCATACAAGACCAACATTTGGAACAGAAAGAGGAAATGGTTTCTTATTCTAACAGAGCTGAATTCTTCATTTTGGGCAGGAAGGTTCTGAGTGACCTACATACAGCAGCTCCTCGTCTCCCTTGAAACCAGTGTCACTCCTTCCAAACTGCGGCATAGCCCCCTGCTGAGACGGGGTTACAATTTGGCATCTTTTCCCCACACATTTTCAAAGGCTCAATTCCCTCCGGTTGCCTAGTGCCATACTGTCATTCTCTTAGTTGAAATAATAACATTTTAAAAATGCTCTTCCTCATATAGAAAATGTAGTCTGATTGTTTTTGTCCTCAAACAGAGCCGTGGGCACTGGTCATAGAAGCTAATGATCTCTTCATTTAGTCTGTATCCCCTTGGCCCTGTGGACACATGCAGATGTGTTACTGCACACATTCAAAAAGCAGGTGATGTTTGAGTGCGCAGTTCTCAGCGTTAAAGGGGGGCTTAAGAATTCTGCGGGGTCCTTCCCCTTCCCAGGCCACGTGCAGCACCGGCTCTCAGCTGCAGGTCCCGTGTCCCTATCCATCTTCGCCCGTTCTGGACTCCTGGGAGACAGGAAGTGTCATTCTCCCAGCCATGTTTCTAGAGTCTAGAAATCTAGACTATGCCACACAGCCCTCCAGTGGCCACTGCAATACCGCAAGGCTCCTCCCTACCCGCCCCCCCCCCCCCCCCCTGTTCTTTTCTTTTTAAAGAACACTTGGGCCTAAAAAACATAAATTCCCCTTAGTTGTTTTGGGCAAGCAGATTTACCTGTTTCGAAATCGCCAATGTTTCAGAAGCAAGGCATGGAACATTTACTCCCTGGAGGGAGAGCCGGGCGATTAACAGGTCTCTGTTGCATCCTTTGATAGGCTTCTCATGATACAGCCGGCCACACACTGTGAGTCATTGTCCTATCTTTTTCTCTCTCATATATCACATCCAGTCCATCAGCAGATCTTATCAGTTTGAGTTTGGAAATATGTCTGTATGCAGGCCAGTTCTCAACACCTCCCCCACTTCCACTCTAGTACAAGCCACCACGTGTGTCTGGATCATTGTATTAACCGCCCTTGATCGACGACAGTCATGTTCACTACAGCTGTCGGAGCAATCACTCAACAAGAAAGTCAGGTCATGGCATTCCACTCCCGGTGGTCTGTGTCTTTCCATCTCACTGAGAGTAAAGCCGTTAGGATGCCCAAAAGCCCCCGTGGGTGGCCCTGGTCCCTCTGTCCTTATCTCCTGTGCTCTCCTTAACTTGCCAAACCTGCTGTTGCCTTGGGGTCTTACACTTGCTGCTTTTATTTTTTTTTAAATTCCAGAATGCTCCTCCTGCAGCCATCCTCCTGACGAGGCCTATTATTCCCACTTCCTTTAGGCTTTTGCTCCACCATCACCTTCCTAGGCTTTTTCTATTAGTCTATACAAAATAGCACTTCCCTGTATCCCTCATCTGATTCTTTATTTTATCCTGTTGCACTCCTCACTGTGTAACAGACTTGTCTATATTTTATCGCCTTCCTTTTTGCACAGAGTGTGAACTCCAGCAGAGTAAGGCCATGATCTGTCTTGTTCCGTCTTCCATTCCTGGTGTGCAGAATAGGTCTTGGACTGTGGTGGGAACTCAGTAAATATTTGTATGAATGGTAGGTTATTGATTTCAAGAACAAGCCCTGTGTGCAATACTGCCTTCCCTAAAATTGATCATGGGCTACTTTGAGGGATTTTTAAAAAATGTTGTATTATCATATCAGATTATATCAAAAGTAAGGGTCCTTTTAAACTTGGTTAGATCCCGTTATTAATCTGTCACACAGCCCCTTGCATAGTAATAACCTAGTGCAGTGGTCGGCAAACTGTGGCTCTCGAGCCACATGCGGCTCTTTGGCCCCTTGAGTGTGGCTCTTCCTAAGCCTTAGGAGTACCCTAATTAAGTTAATAACAATGTACCTACCTATATAGTTTAACTTTAAAAAAATTTGGCTCTCAAAAGAAATTTCAATCGTTGTACTGTTGATACTTGGCTCTGTTGACTAATGAGTTTGCCGACCACTGACCTAGTGTAATACATTCTTTGTTGTTAATATTTATGCCTACTACTCAGTCCAGTAGTCTGGAGAATATTCAGTCTCTTCCTGTTGAGTTTTTGAATAATTTCCTTTTTTGAGTAGTATACCGTAGTTGGCATTCCCGAACACCCCAAGAACTAATTTGAGGTTTGAGGGAATTCCTGTTAACTTTTACTTACATTCTAGCATAATTACAAGTGCCAATTTGTCTCCTCTCCTCTCCTCTCCCTTCCCCCTTTTGTCTTTCTCCCGTCTGAAATGTTCTACTTTGAGCGGGGCCACATCTAGGGCAGAGCATGTTCTCAGAAGGAATGGTGCATAGACACTCAATAAATATTTGTTATTGGAAAGACCTGTAGCAGCGGATGCAGGTGAAATTATTCAAGAAAAAGAAAAGATGCTGCAAAATCTATGAAAAGAAAAAATCAATCTCACAAATAATCTAAAAGAGTGCTTCTTAAACATGAACATGGATACAGGTCACCTGGGGACCTTGTTAGAAGGAAGATTATTATTTTTTTATAAATATATTTTTATTGATTTCAGAGAGGAAGGGAGAGGGGGAGAGAGATAGAAACATCAATGATGAGAGAGAATCATTGATCGGCTGCCTCCTGAAAGCTCCCACACTGGGGATCGAGCCCACAACCTGGGCATGTGCCCTGACTGGGAATTGAACCGTGACCTTCTGTTTCATAAGTTGATGCTCAACCCCTGAGCCACGCCGGCCGGGCTAAAAGGAAGATTCTTATTCATCATGTCTGGGGGTGGGTCTGAGATTGGGCATTTCTGACAAGCTCCAAGGCGGAGCCGGTGTCACTGGGTGTAGGACAACTGAGGAGTGTTTGTTATTTGCCTTTCCTTACAGAATTGAGTATTGGCCCTGCCTGCAACAGCATGCTCAGTGTACTTGTGGGAAAGAATCTTTGCATTATCTGTTGTAGAGAGAGTAGATTCCCGGTCCCTGTTCCTATGTGTGTATAGTGTATGTAAGTATGGATACATGTATTTTGTTCCCATCTTTATTTTCAGAGGAGAGAAATGACTGGGTCAGCATACTACTAAATGCACTGAAATCGCAGTCCCCCTCCTCGCAGTCTCAAGCAGCTGCTGCGCCTGAGAAATGTGGATATCTTGAACTGAGAGGGTATAAAGCCAAAATTTTTACTGTGTTAAGTGGAAACAACGTGTGGCTCTGCAAAAACGAACAGGTAAGCTACGTTACAGTGACTGCAAATTGCAGTCCCTGATTACATTAGCAGCTGTGCTCTGTTGGGCTTATTAGTGTTTTTACTTACAGTCTTGCTTATGCCTTGAGTATTCCACTAAATATAACAAAAGAGAGTTGTTTTGTTGAATTTTCTCAGTTCATTTAGCAGCAAAAAATGTCATCTATAGTAGATTTGAGACTAGACATCACCTTTCTAAGGGACTGAGGAATAGAATCATTGAAAATAATTTTTAAAAAGTATTCCTCAGCTGAAGTAACATTATAAAACTACATGAGAAAGTAATTAAGAACAAATTACACATTACAGCTGTTGATGAAATAGGCACCTGTTGTGTTTCTTTTGTTTTTGTGACAAAATTATAGAGTAAGCACGTATTTTCTTGACTTTACAGCATTTTGGCTTTTGTTTTGAGCAGATAAGTTGCTAGCAGAGTAAGTAATTTACTAGAGACAAGTGATTGATATACACGCATTCACACATATGCACATAAATACACACATATCATATATATATATATAATGGGCTTAACTTGTTATTGAATTTGGTTAATATGGAAGGACTCAATAGAAAATTTCAGTGTTATGAGAGACTGATGTTAAAATAAAGTTTTAATAAATTTCATTAACTTCATTTGATTCTGTAGACTTCCCTTTCTCTAACATATCTTGTTTTTAATATGTATAAGAAAATTCCTTATCCCTTTTTGGGAATTAATTCTTACTTAATCTTTCAGCTTAGAATATATTAAATGCTTAGTAATTATTTGTGGAATTAAACGGTATGTTTTGGATAGCTGATCTAAAATGAACTCATTGTATGATACAGTATAATGGGTTATGATATTGTGAACTATGAATGCTGACTGTTTTCATAACAAAAAGAGTGAAATCAACTCAAAACAAATAGTTTCAAAAACATGAACTCTAGATCTTTATCCAAGGCATTCTCTGGAACTTCAGTGCGAACTTACTCATTACATTTTTTGGGATAAGATTTCTTAGCCAATTAACTGTGGACAGCATCGGTTGAACACTGTTGGCATATTAATAACTTGGATAGTTAGCCTATTTCTCAAGAATAGTGATGTGCAGCTTAATAATATGTATGAACTCAATATGAACATTTTCCGTTTGTGAAGTAAGATGATTAAAACTTTTCTTATTGGAATGGTGGTTAAAAATGCATAATTTGCATATATCAGTATGGAAGTTTCTTTGTTAAATGAGTACCACAAAATAATTGAGGTATTCATCTGTTAGTTGCACAGACCTGATGGGCTTCAAATTATTAATTTAATTGCTTACATTCGTTAGAATGTCTGAGTTCGTTATTCTCTAGAAGTAAAGTACAATGCTTTTAAGGTTTTACTGATATTTTCTGATTAGGAAGAAATATCTGAAATTTTTGCTTTAACATTAGCATTTGAGTATAAAAAAGGATACTAATGACTACCATTTGTTGAGTACCAGCTACTGTGCTAATTAATTTATAAACATTCCCTTTAATCTTACCCACAAATATGGGAGGAAGATATTATTATTCATGTTTTATAGCTGAGGAAAATGAGGATTAAGTAACTTGGTAAGGATTTCAATTCATTATGCAGAGTTTAATTTAAAACCAGAACTTTGTAACTCTAAGTCTAGCTTCTTAGCCGCTATAGCAAACGATCTGTTTAAACTGTATGTTGAAAAGAAAATTTGTGGCCTGTGACCTTTTAGAAATAGACGGAGATTCTTTCCTTGAATAATTTAGTTGCCTGGAAGGTTCACAGTGTGCATTCAGTAAGCGTTATACCATGCCAGGCACTCGAAAAATGATGCGCTGACTGGAGGACACAAGTCTTCCAGGAGGAAAAGTTAGAGAAGAGCAGTGTCCCTGATAGATGGTGAGCTCAGTGCTCTGTCAGGCTTGTGTAGGAGTTACAGGGAGGTGCAGAAATGGGCATCTAATGGACTCCGAGAATTAGAACACTTCCATGTACACAAATAATGAGTATATTCTCCGTAAAATTAAAGCATTAATACTGGACCCCTCCTCATCTTTTGAGAAATAAACCAATTTAAAAAATATGTTGTTATTGGTTTTTAGAGAGAGAAGGGGGGGAGAGAGAGAGAGAGAGAGAGAGAGAGAAACATCAATGAGAGAGAAACATTGATTGGCTGCCTCCTGCAGGGATTGAGCCCACAACCTGGGCATGTGCCCTGACCCGGAATCGAACTGGTGACTTCTTGGTGCATGGGGCGATGCTCAACCACTGAGCTACACTGGCAGGACAATAAACCTATTTTTGATGGATGTATATTTCAAGTCCTTTTTAATGCATTAACATATGTGTATGTTACACACACACATAGACACACACCCTTGCAAAGTGCATATTACTATTTGTATGTGTGCTCTTTTAAAAAAATTATATCAGATTCATCATGTTGCATGGAGCCAGGTCTTAAGGGACTTAGTCTAAAGAACTAGTTGGCTAAAGACTGGCAGGATAAATTAAGGATGGCCCTCTATGTTTAGGCCCTGACATACTCTTCCAATTGTATTTATTTTTACATCGTAGGGCATGCAATTCCCCCAGAGGAGAGTTGCCCATTGGTTTGCTCACATGGTTTAGCAAATTGTGTGAAGAATTTGGGTGACATGCTAAATAAGGAGTCTTTCTTCTGAAAGGGCAGGGCTTTAAGCTAGTGTTTTAGGAAAAGTACTAAAAGATAATAAAATAGTTTGATGTAACTTCTAAAAGTTTTATACATGCACTATACAAAGGAATCTTGTGGGTTTTTTAAAAAGGTGATGGAAAAAACTCATCATAAAAATGTAAGGGGTGTTGATTTGAACCTCTGTATTTTAATTTGTATCAGCTCTCATTTAGATCCATGTATCCAAGCTTAATTATAAAAAAATTAAGACAGTGAATTTATTGCCCAAATATCTTATAGTTTAACTAGAATAAAAAAATAAAGAACATTGACTTACACCACCCTAACATGAACAGTTTTCACTTTCCTTTTCTCTATTTGTACATAGTCTTTCTAATGCACTTTGGAGGTGACTAGAGAGAATAAACAGAGGATAGAGGTGGGAGGGTAGCTGTTGCAGCATCTGTGGATGGGCTATTACAAAAGAAGCTTGGGAGCGCATTTAGAACAAAGAAAACTGGACTGGGTGGTGCCAGTTCTGTGTTTTCATTCTTGATCTGCTGTTAATTGGCTCAGGTAATTAAGTTAATCTCCTTAGATTTAAATGGCATCATAAGAAGAAGAGATATAGATTACTGTCTCCAAGGTCATTATTAAAATTCAGCTACCTGGACTCATTAGAGCCATTGACTTAGGGTTTCTGGAGATGGTGTGTTGGAATCTGTATTTGTAGAAAGTATCCTAGGTGAGTCAGTGACAGGTGATCGAAAACCACACCCAGTAAAACACTGCTCTAAGCTCTCTCTTCTACAGAACTAGAAGCATCCAGGTTAAGTGAACAAGATAAGCTGGAGTGGGAAAATGTGTAAAAACAGCCTTCCAGAACTTTGAGTGGTTCTTTAGTTCATCATTCATTAACTTGGGGTTGCTAAACCTCTTTTTGTGATGGTTGCATTTGTAAGCATATCATTTTCTTGATTGAACATTTTGAAATGTGCAACATTTAAGTGGAAAGTTAACAAAATCATTCTTAGTGGTAATAATATTTTTTTAAAAGTTTGAAGAACTGTTGCTAATAAATTATATATGTTTCTAAACTATAGCTACTGGGTTTTTTTTTTGTTTTAAATGCCAATAATGTTATATAAATGTTCTAAACTATAGCTACTGGGTTTTTTTTGGTTTTTTTTTGTTTTAAATGCCAATAATGTTATATAAATTTTCATTTTTTCAGGTTAAAATCCTATTATTAGTTTCTTCACATAGACTTTTATTAACAGGAGAATGCTCTATTGGAGAAATTAAAACTCCATTTGCAAAGTCAGCATGAAAGAAGGTGTTTGAAAAACAATTTGAAACTGTTATATCCCATATGTTCCTGTAACTCTGTGTATGTCTGAAAATTTACTCTAATTTTGTTGATTATTGCTAATCCTTTCTAAAGTTGTTTCTCTACTTCCAATAGGTGTCCCTAAGATTCCATGTGAAGCATCCCTACAAATATATTTTTAGTAATTCTTTCACTTTTTGGATCTGTCCCTTCTACTGAATCAGGAACTTAGATTTTCTAAGTTTAAATAGAAATTTCTCCCCTCTCTCTCTCTCTCTCTCTCTCTCTCTCTCTCTCATTGACTTCAGACCTAGAGGAAGGAATAGGGAGAGAGAGAGAAATATCTATGTGAGAGCGAAACATTGCACAGTTGCCTCCTGTATGCGCCTCAACTGGGAATCAAACCTGCAACCTGTGTATGTGCCCTGACTGGGAATCAAATCTGAGAACCTTCAGTGCACTGGAAGATGCTCCAACCAAGCCAAACCACCAGGGCAAGATTTCTTCTCTTAAGAGAAGTGGCATTATAATAGCAAGGGGGATGCCAGTCTTCACATTCTCTTCGATGTTTCACTGACAAGTCTAAACTCTGTGGAAACAGCATGGATTTTTCTTTTTCTCAGATGGACAGTTCCAACATTTACTTCTTTCATCTTTTTCTTTCCCTTTCAATAATTAGCAGATTGTAGGAACTGAAACTTGAAGTAGATCTTGGCTAAGTAGGAGAAATGCCTTAGGGAATGTTAGTTGTTTGTTTTTTCCAGATATACTGTAAAAAGTAGGAAAGAACCACAAGGAGATATCAAAACATTTGTTAGAGAGTAAGATAGCAAAGTAGAAACTGACACTAAGATTATTTTTTAAAATTCATTTTTCATTAAAAGTCATATACAATATTATATTAGTTTCAGGTGTACAGCATAGAAATTCCTCATTTATATACCTTACTATGTGATCACTATAATAAGTCTAGTAACCATCTGCCACCTTTAGTTATTACAATA